CCGCTTATAAAAATACTATAATTTAATACTCTATTCAAGTAAAGAAAAAAAGTATACGGTATGGGTCAATGGAACTACAAGCCATAGAATACACAACTCCCCCCCAGTATCTCCCTTGAACAGACGCGCAATGCTCACTCCACGAATCCCGGTATGTCCGTATTGAAATCTTGTGTCGAGGCTTCGTTGGCAGCACTGTGGCTGTAGGTAGCACTGACATTCAAGGTTATCAAGTAGTGGGGTGGAAATTTGTTTAAATTGTGCCGGGAAAAATCCCACCAATCATAGTCGAGGTAACGATATCGCTGATTATTATTGGCTGATTTGAAATTTTATTCCCGCGCCGTTACTCAGCGTCGTTCCCTGTATTGTATTGTAGATTTGGTACGAATTTCTGGATCCCGCCCAATCGAATCTCGCACTACTTACCTTGCACTGAACCTCGTTGCGACATTTGATTGGATATTATTAAATTCCTTGTCATTGATTGGCTAACATATTATTTCTATTTTCCATGTCGTGTCTTCTGATTACGTGATAGCCAATCAAATGTCGCGGTGGGGGAGAGTCAATATAGGAATTATTTTGCTTTTCAAAACTGAAAAGCAAAAACAACTTGACCCTGTGACAAGTAAATCCAATTGTAGACATTGACATCCAATTAGAAAGCAGAGTTTTGCTCGTACTTGATTTGATGGCCTGCTTTCATCACATGACCCGACGAGTCCTGTAAGGCAAGACCGTCCAGAAGTCACGTCGGGCTAGGAAACAGTTTAGGATAGAGTAGTTGTAGCGAGGCGCACATCACAGTTGGAAGGCTTAGTGATATTCCTTCAGTACTGACCCGGTCGAATTTAAACAAACAATCCATATTTTTTCTAATTCGGACTCCAACCTAGTATGATCGAACAATTGCAATCACAAGTCATTTGAAAAACATATAACCACGCGTGCCACGGTGTGTGCGAGGTACTTGTGAAGCAGTTCACGAAGGTGATGCGTGAACTGCTTCACAAGCACCTCCCAAATACCTCAATACCTTGTGTGTGGGCTCCGTTGGCAGGGATAACGAAGTTTTCGGAGTGGTTTTTGCATAGATGAGAGTAACCCATGCCGACCAAGGCAGGATTTTTCTCCAAGGTGTGGCATTCATTATTGGGCACATACGACCCGACCTTATCAGACATGATCAATGTTCCAGGTCGTATGTGTTTTGCAATAAGCGCATGCAACACCAGCTTTGTGCGGTCTTCATAGGTCAGCAAACCAAACCACTTCGCTGTCGCTGTATCAACATTTCCAAACAACCAACACTCTAGATGGCGGGTACCACAGTTGGTTGTACTTAGATTTTTGCTTGGCTGAGCGACGTTTCGTCAATGTCGACAACCGACCCAACATCGCCAATGTAATTACTTGTCAATAATTAATCACAATGGCATAATTCTGACATGTAATGTGTGTGGAAAAATAATTTGCCCTACACTCATGCACCAGCGCAGGAAGTCGGTGTCATTCGCCGTAATCTGCATGACTCTGTTGAAACGTGCATCCGTGGGGTAGGCTGTGGGTGGGGTATGCACAGCGGAATGATATGAAGAATGAAGTTACAGGGATCTACGGAACTTAAGTCCTATCGAAGTTGCACGGTAGTTATACCCAATCAAATAATTTCTTGTGATACGATGCTGTGATTGGTCAAATTTTTAATCTCCCGCCAAACTTGCAATTCAAAAAAATACTGACCCACTTTGCAAGGCAATCAAAATGACATGCATCACGTACTCCATCGCGTTCAAGCTCGAAGCTTTGAAACACCTTGAGACCTTGTCCGACTACAACGTAGCTGCGCTCCTTAACGTCGCTCGCAGGACTCTCCGCAACTGGCAAAAGCAGCGCAACGAGCTCCTTGCCTACAAAGGCAACAAGAAGCGCCTTTAGGTGCGTCCAGGAGGCCTACCCGAACAGTTCCCGGACCCGCCAGGCCTAGTCCAATACATCAACGACTTGCGTGACGCTGAGCGTGCGCTGACGACAATGCACATTATTAACTGGATCAAACGAAATCAACGAACGTGGCTGCTGGACTATCTGTCCACCAAAGCCGCAGGGTCCGGCTACAAGTCCCTTCTCCAACTTCTCCGCCGGTTTTGTCGACGCCACGGATTCTCCCGACAACGCCCAGCGAAGAGTAAGAAGACATAGGGAGACCTGTCCGAGCTGCGCGACGAGTTTGCGCTGGAGTTCCACCGGTCGTACAGCGCCCACAGCAAGGAGTGCACGTACAACGTTGACGAAACGGGGTTCTATTACGATATGCCTCCCCACTACATCTGGGCCGTGCGCAGCGGCAGCTCCAAGATCTCCGCGGGGGAGAAGCACTCCATGCGAATGACGGCGGTGCTCACAGCGCGTGCGGACGGTACCAAGCTGCCTATCATGTTCATCATGAAGAGACAGCCCGGCGGACGCATCGAAACAAACGAGGTGCCTACCTTCCCCGAAGGACACTTCTACGCCGTCCACGAGAAAGCCTGGATGGACGGGGGTGGAAGCAGTTCTTGCGGTCGGTGCTGCACGACGACATCGAAGAGTGCTCCGTCATCCTAGTCGACAACTTTGAGGCCCATGTGTCGGAGGAGTCGACCAAGATTGTGCAAGAAGAGCTGGGATCTGACCTGTGTGCCATGCCACCGAATGCGACGTCTGTGTACCAGCCCTTGGACGTGGGTGTCATGGCGCCCTTCAAGCGTCACCTACGTGAGTTGTGGCTGTATGAGGAGATGATTGACAGTGACGACGAGGATCCCGACTCACTGACTGCAAAGCAGAAGCGCCTAGCCATGATCAAGCGTGCGATTGCGGCGTGGGATTTGGTGACGCCCGAAATCGTCCGCAGCAGCTTCGAGAAAGCGCTGGCTTTTGGGCCAACGACTGGAGAATAAGGGATTAAAAAAATGCAGGACAATGTTTTTCATTATTATATATGTTTTGTATGATTTTTTTTATTTGTGCTTGAATTTTTTTATATCTTGAGAAAAAGTTTGACACTGCCCGGGAATTGAACCCGGGCCCCCTCCTCTATCCTTTGATGCCGTCACGCTTAACCATTGCGCCACCGCGTCAAACGCTTACGCTTACACTCGAAGCATTGTATCAATCAAGTCGACTTTTTTCATTGTAACGCAAGAACTAATATCCTTCAGAAAACTTGGCCTGTGGCATTCAACTTGCTTGTAGATTAGTGGCTCCTTGATTGTCTAATAAAATGACCTCCAAAATATAAATCCGGACTCAACTCGAGCCAATAAAAATGGGCATCACGTCTCCGATTGGCAGGAAAGGCGGGCGTACTTCGAAGTAAGGCAGCCAACCACCATCAAGTATTTGCATTCCACCCGAAGAAAAAGTAGGCCTTAAGTTCCATAGATCCCTGTAACTGGTTGTTTGTGTTTTGTGGCTTAATCCTAT